GTAAGTACGTAACCTTAAATTAATGGGAGAGAGGAAAGTCAGGTTGTGTAGTAGCATCTTTGATAAGTGAATCTCAGTTTCATTTGCAAATAAAGGAAATCGGCGGTCATAGTGATAGGTTGTTTATGTCTGATAAATGTCGATGAAAGAATGCCCTAAATGATTATACAAGATATATCAATAACTGGGTTCTTGCCTTGACTGGTTCGCCATTTCGAATGCGAGTTGAAACACGTAACGATAATTATATCTGGCACGCAAGATGAAGGTTTGCAGAGAGGGATCCAGTCTATATGTGATGTGTGTGTGCGTGCGTGCGTGAGTGAGGAGTGTGTATATGTGTGTGCGTCTGTGCATGAGTGCGTGCGTGTGTGCGCGCGCATGTATATGTCTGCCTTGTGTTGTGTGTTTCTTTTAATTCTTCTCTTTGACCAAATGCAGATGCGCAGGTTGGCTGTTATGCAACCAGTGTAATGAACACTGCAGGTCAGTTTACAGTTTTGGTTTACAAATGCATTCGTCACTGGTAGCGCCACGCAGATCGAAACGCAGCGACGGCATTTACCAAATCAGCATAAAAATCCAACGGAAACGTAGCGGATGATGAAATGACATTTGATTTGTTTAATGAATAGCATCGCCAGCATTTCCGCTTTTGGACGCACGTGAACTGAACCCAATTTATAACATCGTCGTATTAGTATAGTAAGAGCGGTGCCCGTGGATGCGGAGCCAAGGGGCCAGTTATTCGCCCAAACGGCAAACTCTTTCGCTCATTCGTTCATTCGTTACATTTTTACTGCTTCGCTCGTTTTGCCATTTTGTTTCGTTAAGTCTTGCTTCCTTATGATTCTTCTTTGTTCTTGATAAAATATGATTGTTTTTGGTTATTTGTTTTCCGTGTATAGACTCCCTGGAACTGATTTGATAACTCCATTCATCTCCTTTGAAAGTTCATTAACTTGGCTTGTCTGGCGTGGACTGGTTTAGTATCTCATTGATTTATGTATTCATGCATGACTTCGATCACTCATTGCATTAAATTATTATCTGATTACTTGATTAATCATTCACTGTGTATGTGTTTATTGAAACCAGTGCTTAATCCTGTATTTTGTTTACGTGTTTTGCTTTTTTGCAACTTTTGCATGCATAAATTTACACATGTTAATTCACATATTGATAATGCTCGTTCGGTGTTCCCAATTAAAGGGAGAAAACTAATTCCTATAAAGTACTAATAAAAAGACACATAATGCGGATTCAACGTAGCACAAAGAAGCAAGTTAACTAGACCGATAAAACCGACGTAAGACCCAACGGCTTAAGACAAACACACACACTTACGCCGGGGGTTTAACGCATGCCTAAGACATAATCCTTGTAACGTATAATTCACGCTCATGCGATCTCTCACTCGGCCCCCGGGAGGTAAGGCTGTAATAAACTTGTGAATGAACCGGGATCGGGGAAATACACAAAACCTCGCGATTGTAAATAATATATGAGTCCGTCGCGCGTGAGGCACCCACGAACAAAGTAATGGTCGGCCGCAGGAGACGTCGAACTGGTTGCGCTGGCCTGGCCGCAGCCAGTCCGCCTTCGTGCCGGAACGAGCGCAGTAAGTTGGCGTTGGTGCTAGAGGATACTGTGCTGATGTAACGCGCGTGTGTTCAACGCTGCTTGCTGTGGCTCATCGCACTTTTGGTACATAACGGCACCCGGTGCACCACTTTTACACACAGTACGCATTATACATACTACTTACGTTACCACTTTATTCACGATCATTTACACTCTTCACCAATCCCCTAAATTCGCCTCCAACCGAGTACGGTAACGTTTTTTCCGCGCCCATCATTGGCGAATGGGACCTGTTCATAGCAGATCTTTTCTGCATGTCACTGCCTGGGTTCCTCTCTATTCCCACCGCACACATAAAACGCATAACGTACACGCAACACCAGTGCAGCCCACGATACACGCACACGCCATTTTCCTCGGTTTATTTATCTGTATACACAATACACGGCCAATATAATACATCATACAGCACAACAACATCACATACCACGCACAAATTAAACACACTACACGCACTTAACATATACACATACCACGTGTCCAACGCCACACATTAACACGCATCACGTGCACCATACCACGGCGACATCATACTAAGCACACTCCAGCACACACGCAACACTAACCGCTGCACGTCACAATACACCATCAACACTTACACATACACGCAACACTTACGACCAGTACACGGCAACCAGTGTGCAACAATAATGCACCATATAACGCAGCACTCAGTGGCTAACCATTTGCACATACACGCACCACGTACTCGCACATTAATGCACCATAAACGCACATGTACACACACAACACATATGCACATAAACGCACACGTTACACTCACACTCACATAATGCACATACACTCACAGGTACACGTACACGCGCACACACACACACGGCACGCACGCACGCACCCACACAACCACACACACATCAGAGACGTGACGGAGAAAAAATGTTAGCTTACGGATACGGAGCTATCCACTCGCTGTCTGCGACCGTAAATGAGGGGAAAAAACCTTCAATTTAATATCCATTTTAATTCCTTGCGGTGATTATCAATGTTGATGGATGATGATCACTGATATAGGGATGTGGGGGCAGGGGGAGGTAAGGGCAGGCGGTACAGGACTACGAGAGAACAAGAAGGAAGTTTTTTTTTTTATTTATTTTTTTTATCTTCATCATTTGTTTTAGTTCTCCGTCTATTTTATGTAGCTCTTCCGTGACGGCAGGTATGAATTAGTTCAAGAAAAAGGAGAAGAAATCAGACGAAGAAAAAGTGAGAAAAAGAAGCCTGTGCCCCCGTTCAAGGAAAGGCGAGAGAAAGAAAAACCTGAAATAAGTATATAAACAAAAAAAAATGACAAAGAAAGAAGTGAGGATGACATGATATAAAAGAGCAAATGAAAAATGTGTCAAAAAGTCGAAGAAATGAAATAGAAAATAAAAAGCTGAGAAATTTATAAAAGGTATAAGAAATGAAGTGAAAAAAACAAAGAAAAAAAGTATTAAAGAAAAAAGAAAATAAAAAAGTGAACGTGCAAAAAAGTGTAAGTTGACCCGGCGGTGTTAGGTTCGTCGACGGGGTTCAAGGTCGCGGCGAAATCCCGAGACAAGGAGGACATTTTCTTGATATTTCTGCGTTTTTATGTTTCGGTTTTTTCTTTGCCCACGTTTTTCAAAGCCATCTACGTGCCTTATTTGCCATGATCGCTTTAACGTTTTGTTGCTTGTCTCTTTTTTACCGCTTTTATGATAACCTAACTACTGTGGCGCAATACCCTCGTGTCTTAAAAATAGCTCGCGTTTGTCTGGTTCTTTTTTCTTTTGGTTTGTTTGTTTGTTTTTTCAGGGAAGGTAATGCGTGGTTCTAAGTTCGTAGGCAGTTCTGTTTGTTTGTTGGTGTTTGTGTTAGGACTGCCGAAAGGGAAGGTGCCTGGTAGTAATTGGCATGTGCAATTTGTGCTCAGCGGTTATGATATGATAATCCTGTGGATAAGCCTTTCCGTTACCTTTTGTTTAGTGGCGATGATAACTTTTTGCTTACTTTTAACTTTCCTTATTTTTCCGTTTCTTTTCCTCCTTTTACTATTTCCTTCCTTCTCTTCTGTGGGTTATGGTTTACATCCTCCTACGTCTTGTTTCCACTCTGCTGCAGTCTTACTGCATCGATTTCGCCTCATCGTTGCTTTTTCGCCTCTTAGTGTTCCTCCCATTATCTACTCTCCCCTGGCTCCTTCTCCACTTTCATTCAATTCCTCCTCCTCCTCCTCCTATTTTTTCTTTTATTTTTCTCTTTCCTCTCGCTCGTTGTTCTGCTGCGTTGCTTTTCTTCACATCCCTGTCATCCTTCTCCTCACCTTCCTTCCCATTCCTCCTCCTCTTTCTCTCCTCCTCTCTGTGTCCCCCTCTTCTACTCCTTCTTTGCTTTCCCCTACTGCTCTTCTCCTCCTCCTTCTCCTCCTCCCCCTTCTATTATTTTTTCACTACTGCCTCTTCCTTCTCTACACTCAACCTTTACTTCCTGTCCTTCTCCTTTCTCCTCCGCCGTCTTCTTTTCTTTCTTTAGGTCCTTACTCTTTCTTCGTTATTCTTCTTAACCTCTCTCTCTCTCTCTCTCTCTCTCTCTCTCTCTCTCTCTCTCTCTCTCTCTCTCTCTCTCTCTCTCTCTCTCTCTCTCTCTCTCTCTCTCTCTCTCTCTCTTCTCCTCTCTTCTCTCTCCTTTCTCTCTCTCTCTCTCTCTTCTCTCTCTCTCTGCTCTCTCTCTCTCTCCTCTCTCTCTCTCCTCTCTCTCTCTCTCTCCCTTCTCTCTCTCTCTCTCTCCTTTCCCTCTCTCTCTCTCTCTCCTCTCTCTCTCCTCTCTCTCTCTCTCTCTCTCTCTCTCCTTCTCTCTCTCTCTCTCTCCTTTCCCTCTCTCTCTTCTCCTCTTCCCTCTCTCTCTCTCTCTCCTTTCTCTCTCTCTCTCCTTCTCCCTCTCTCTCTTCTCTCTCCTTTCCTTCTCTCTCTCTCTTCTCCTTTCCCTCTCTCTCTCTCTCCTTTCCCTCTCTCTCTCTCTCTTTCTCTCTCTCTCCCTTTCCCTCTCTCTCTCTCTCTCTCTCTCTCTCTCTCCTCCCTCTCTCTCTCTCTCCCTCCTCTCTCTCTCTCCTTTCCCTCTCTCTCTCCTTTGCCTCTCTCTCCTTACATCTTACTTTATGTCTTTCCCTCCCTCCTCCCCTCCCTTTCTTAATTACGTTCCCTTCTACCTCTTTCCTTTCTCCCAGCAAAGCTCCCACGGTCCTCCCCAAAGGCAAATTCGACCTCCTGAGTAAATTTTCCCTCCTTCTCCCTCCTCCTCCCTCTCGCCATTTTCCTTTCCACGCCCACTGTTCCCCGAGAGGAGGTTCCCTAGCAGGAGCGAGGGCTTCTTCGCCA